GCATGAAAATTTATAATATTTTACATGGTCTAGATAGAGGATATTGAATGAGTGTTAGTTCAATACTGAATTTATTGCACGAGTTGAATAAAATTATATTATGTGAGCCTCAGGCGAGCATAATATTATTTTATTCAACTCGTGCAATAAATTCAGTAATGAACTTACACGAATTTAATATTCTATTTATCACATACCCAAAATAAAGACCGTTTGAAGTGAAATAAGAGTCATTTTTCATTGACGCGCCTATAGTATAACGCTAACATTTAGCGCGTCTTTACACTATGTTTGTATAACGCTAATTAATGACGTCACGTCAAAATATATGCACGGCCGTGCAATACCATATTTACGGAGTCGCAAAATCGGCACGGGTGTGTGATAAAATAATTTATTATCCCCTTCATATCGGATCATGCACATAAAATTCGTTTAATTGTTGCAATCAGCAACAGTGCAATTAATTAACATTAATATTTCAGGTATAACAGACCTTCCATTATTTAAGCTATACAAATATTTACTAGTAGAGGCAAATATCTGTGTTTGACCAAAAGTAAATTATAATTAATATTACATGGTGTACATAACTTTATGATAGAGTTAGATAATATCTATGTACACGTATATACCCGCTGGACAACGTTTCTTATCCGGTTTCGCAGCTTATATAATGTCGAATTATAAAGTCTGGAATTGACGAGTATCTCTAATATGCGTTTAATTGTATTTGAAACTTTACTATTACCATACATGTAGATATATGCTTTGTTTTAATTCTATAAATTAATTTTGATGGAAATAAACGTTAATCATTTACACCTTTAATGCCATTTTAATTGTCTACTTGGAAAATAAAATATTTAGAGGTCTATAGATCTAATAGTATTATAAATGTGTCACGCACACAAATTGTTTTATGTCATCTTCGTCAAATATTTCCAGTTATAATAAAAGTCAGGCTTTACATAGTTCTCTTTCATTGTATCATTCAGCAAGCGAATTTAATATTCTATTTATCACATACCCAAAATAAAGACCGTTTGAAGTGAAATAAGAGTCATTTTTCATTGACGCGCCTATAGTATAACGCTAACATTTAGCGCGTCTTTACACTATGTTTGTATAACGCTAATTAATGACGTCACGTCAAAATATATGCACGGCCGTGCAATACCATATTTACGGAGTCGCAAAATCGGCACGGGTGTGTGATAAAATAATTTATTATCCCCTTCATATCGGATCATGCACATAAAATTCGTTTAATTGTTGCAATCAGCAACAGTGCAATTAATTAACATTAATATTTCAGGTATAACAGACCTTCCATTATTTAAGCTATACAAATATTTACTAGTAGAGCAAATATCTGTGTTTGACCAAAGTAAATTATAATTAATATTACATGGTGTACATAACTTTATGATAGAGTTAGATAATATCTATGTACACGTATATACCCGCTGGACAACGTTCTTATCCGGTTTCGCAGCTTATATATGTCGAATTATAAAGTCTGGAATTGACGAGTATCTCTTAATATGCGTTTAATTGTATTTGAAACTTTACTATTACCATACATGTAGATATATGCTTTGTTTTAATTCTATAAATTAATTTTGATGGAAATAAACGTTAATCATTTACACCTTTAATGCCATTTTAATTGTCTACTTGGAAAATAAAATATTTAGAGGTCTATAGATCTAATAGTATTATAAATGTGTCACGCACACAAATTGTTTTATGTCATCTTCGTCAAATATTTCCAGTTATAATAAAAGTCAGGCTTTACATAGTTCTCTTTCATTGTATCATTCAGATAAGATTATTATCGCCAGTCGCGAAAAATGTTTGGCACGTATTCAGAAGCATTTCACACCCCTTTGTGCGCCTCTTTGATAGTCTAAACATGAAACGTCACGTGCTACGTTCGGTTTGGTTCCCTTTTTCCGATAGATTGTTCGCGCTTACCAACTCAACACACCATAAGCTGGGAAACATGCTATTAAATTAGCAAGTTGAAGATTTAACAAGGCGGACTGAATTTGTCCCGGAGCAAAATCGTGTCTAAACGGTCAAATCAAAAGAAGATCTTGTGATAAAGGTATACAGTTGAAGACTTTACTGTTATAGCACACTTTTTAAACAAAAAATGGCAACGAGACGAAGTGAGAGACGGGTTACACGATCTACAAGTACGAACACAGTGACTCGGCCAAATCCAGAAAATGAGAATCTTACAGACATGAAAACAGAATTACAACAGACTGAGATCCGATTTAGAAAAGCGTGTAATCAAATTAACTTATTAAATAGGAAAATGGAAAGTATACACAAAAGATATAACTGTGCCAAGAAGAATAATCATCGTGTGTTCAGATATAAACTACGACTAAGGTTGGCTGTTGTAGAAGGACTTAGAAACATGTACTACGAATATGCAAATAAAAAGGTATAATTTATTATATATAATACTTTCAATTACTTATTTGTACTGATAACTTATTCGTACTGATTATTCGTAGTATATAATATCAAGATCAATGTTTCACTGATGTTAATAGATCATCCAGAACTGGTAAATGTGGGTTTTCCCCATCTATAAATCCATAGGTAGAAACTAACTTTTTACCGATACAGCTTCAGGATTTACAAACCGTTATAATAGATTAGTCAGTCTATTGCAAGCTCCAAGGGTAAAAGTTTGTTTGTACCCACAGATTAGCTGGGAAATTCCCAAATATTCTTAATTCAGGAGTTAGTCTATAGATTTTTTTCTTTGAAAAGTATTTTTTTTAAGGACAGATTTGTCAAGACCACAGGTGCCTCTCCGTGCATTAATTTCAGGTACGAACGGGTACCAGAGTAGAACCACCAACATTCTTTAAGCTACATTAGCTTGATAGCTTCCTTACATGATAGATCCAAAGTCGCTGGCAGGATTTGAACCCACAGCAGTAAGGAGCAAGTTGTTTGAAGGCAAAAGACCTTAACCACTCAGCCACAGATGCCCCATTGTGGTATTACTCTTCGATGAGAATCAAGTCTAGTATAACTCATCAAGTGCAGGTTATGTTAATAAAATTAGCTGGATAAGGAAATATACAACCTGACCTGAACTTGAACCCAGGACCGAAAACCTATCTGCTGCTCAACTGAGTCTCACTGGGCTGGTATTACCCAGTCCTTTGCTCATTTTCTTTTCAATAAGTATACATTGTATCTAACATGACAAAATTAATCCTGTTTGAGTTTCTTAGTCAGACACAATTTTTTAAGCTAGATACAGTCATATTTTTTTCATTGCAAGAAAAATGGAAAAACTTATAGAACAAGATATTTTTCTGTTTCAGGCATCAAGAGTTGTAGAACTGAGACGTGAACTTTTTAACGAGAATGTTGAAGTAGTAGAACAAGAGGACAGTGATTACGAGGACTCAGAAATGGATGAGGCCGATTGAAAACAAGGAAGATAATCTGTGATATATATATGTGACATCTAGTGCTAAAATTTTGATGACAGCCAGACTGTTACTGAAGGCACTGCTTGTCCAAGCTTGTGATCTCCAGGCTCTAAGAAGAAGATAGCCTTACTTGCCATGTGCAAAGTTTATAGCAAACTTGAAAAAGCAATGTTCTTAATGTGAATCATGACAATATTTTAGACAATATTAATTTGATCTTATATATTTTTCATTTTCAAGTTTTAATTCAGGAAATGAAACATTTTATCAAAATAATTTTTTTAGCAAAATATGCCTGAATTATAATTAAGAATTTTCTAGCAGAACCCTTCCATTGCCAATTTTGTACAATAGACTTGCCATGCTTTTCATTTGGAACTGTCTATTTTTATTTCAAAGGGGTTTGTTATGAAAAAGTTAAAAGTAAAATAGAGCATTTGGCAGAAGTCAGTACAGAGGCTGGACTCTTTGTGCTGAACTTTTTGATAAAAACCTATGAAACACTGGATCAGCGTCATATTTCATATCCACAACTTGTCACTCAGTTTTTGAAAAATCAACAACAACATGTATTATTAAAAGTTACTCCCCTGTTACAGATTTTCATTAATTACATTAAGTTATTAATGTCTTAACTTGTTTAAAGTCTAGGCACATAGGATAGAAGATAAATTTGCCTTTTGGTATGGCCAAAAGGGCTCTTCTGCAATTGTTAATGTATATCGTATTACAAATTCTGTATAAGCATTTTTTTTAAAACGTTATTGGTTCTGTTACAAGAGATAAAATCCCGTGATTGGAATATAAATTTGTTGTCTCCATCAGTAAAGCTATATTGGTCAGATCTTTTCATATCAACATGATGTATACAAAGCTACACTTTTTGTTTACATTAGATAATTGTTAATTATAATATATTGAAAGTATATAATATTAACTTATAACTTAACTGCATTGTCTTATGATACTGGATGGTTCCATTTTTGAAGTGAGGTAATATACTTAACAATATTCAATTCACTATCATAATATTGTACTGCAAGAAAAAAATGATGATCTCTTTCCAAAGAGATCCAATCTAAAATTGTCATATAATGATAAGTATATACATGTATGTAATAGTCATGCAGAAAAAATTAATGCAACTGTTGTACTACATTTGCCTGGTGTCATAATCTTTAATGATGTCATGAAGGATCAGTTCTGATGTCATAAGAATTGTTATTGTTCATTACGTAATGCTGTGTAATAATCATATTTTTACTTACTTGTTTTAAAAAGGAATAATGGGAATCATTTAAGAATCGGCAACAGTGTCATAAACAAAACATGTTTGTCTGTTTTGTCTGAAATTTTTCTGCATTACTTCAAAACAAATTTGTTAATGATATTAGGGGATGATATGTTAAACATTAAACCTGCAGAAAACATAGCGTTTGTTTCAGTTTGCGATAAGTACAAATCAGAAGAGAAAAGATTAGTCATTGCCACCAGTATAGAGCCAAGCCAGTCTGCGCACTCCTGCAGTCTGACCAGGCTTATACTGTTGGTGACTTATTTTTTGTATTTCATAAAATAACAAATTGTAAATTCAGCAGGTTTAGGGCTAAGTTTATTTTGACGATAGTTGTACAAAACTACATTAAACTCAAATGTTAATCATTCACTGATATAACCCATAAGTTGTATAAACATACAAAATGTTCACTGTAATATACATCTGTATAAATGTACACAAATAGCACAATCATGGTCAGTCAGGTTTTATCTATGTGGCTTGCGAAAGGAGTTACAATTGGGGTACTCTGAAACTATGGCATTTATGGGCTGGCATAAAAAGGGACATAAGAAATCTTTTATTGATATTAGTGCACTGCACTTGATAGAGAATTACTTTGAAACAATAGCATTTATAGGGTGGCAAAAAAGGGACATTGGAAATCTTCTTATTGAGATGTGTGCACACAATAGCTGTAAAGTGGTCACATGATAGAATAGATATTACATTTTCATGCAAAAGTCATTACATGGCCACACGATACAATTTATGTTGCATGCGAACGTTATATCTATTGCCTGTGGACTTCATACTATCGCATGCGCACATAAATGATTTCCCATGTCCCCTTTATGCCACCATACTTTTTTATATGAGAATAATTATAGTATTTGTTCATGTGTTAATGACTTTAAAAATAGATATTACTAGACTTACAAACCATTTTTGCTGACTATGTTGATAAATATGAGGTTTTTTTATGTTTTGTTGTTTACTGTCTTGCAGTTTGGTTCTGTTGATAGATGTAAGTGAATGTTCTAAGTTAAGTGACTTTGTTATGTTATGTACGGTAGTGTGAAACTATTATATTATTGCCTGTATGGTTTTAAACATTGGTGACCATTTTCATTAAAAATTTGGTGTTTTATTCTGATTTTCCTATTTTTTTAAAGAAAAATTTGGAATTTTATTTTGATTTTTCCAATTTTTATTAAAAATTTGGGATTTTATTCTGATGTTCTGATTTTTCCTATTTTAAATAAAAATTTGGAATTTTATTCTGATTTTCCTATTTTTGATAAAATTTGGATTATATTCTGATTTCCCTTTTAAAAACCTATGTTTTACTAGTAATGTGTGTCTGATTTCTAGAGTTTGTTTTATAATTTTTCTTAAATTCATGTATTGAAGCTATTAAAGTAAAGATTTATCATCAAAAACATAATTATATACACCTATCAATTACAACTCATAATCCCAGAAATTATGGAAAGATAATGTCATATTTCGTTGTTTTTGATCTACATAAAAAAAGTGATATGTTTTTCATTGATGTAACAATTTGTATTTTTACAGTTTCCAAATGATGTTGACATTTTGGAGATTTACTTAAGAACTGTTTTTGTTGATTTATTTGTAGAATATAGAGTAATAATTCACGATTTATGAAGCTCTATACTGTTGGTCGAGTAACATCAGATTTATCCCGATAAACCAGATTACCTATATTGATAATGGACAGTTCCAAACATTGAAGCTGGACAAGTCCATTTACAAAAGTTCAGCAAGTTAAGGATACAGAAGCAGGGAATTTTTTTCCGTCTTTAAAGTTCTTTGTAAAAATATTTGGAAGTTTTACAAAGTACATGTATATGGTTTTACAAAACTTATTTTTAATGGTATTAGTCATTGTGTTGACAAATTTTATGGAAGTTGAATTATTCTGTGTATTATGTCATGGGTTTGCTTGAATTGAATATGCGTATAAAGATTTTTTTTTTTAACTTTTTGTTGTTTAGTTACAAGTAGCAAATTTTAGTGTGATTGATTTTAAATAGATAAAATGCAGACATACAGAAAATTAAAAAATTTGTGATTTGAATAATGGTTCTTGAGTTTTATTTTGTCTCCCGTCATTTAAATCTTCTTCTTGCAGTCATCTTCAGACTTTGATGACTAGGCTTTTGCCAGTCCAGCTATTTACAAATTTAATTTATATCAATTTGTTTAAGTTCGATTTTGTTGGAAACTATAAGCTTATTGAAACACTCCCAAATTCATTCCTGGAACCAACCAATTCTTATGAATGAGTGTAAAGTTTGTTAATCATGGAAACACCAGCAGGTCCCTGACACCGGCTGACTGTGTTTGAACCCCCACAGCCAGCAAGATTGTTTTTGTATTATACAGCCGTTGTGGTGGCTGACTTTGAAATCACTTGCCCCTCACTGCTGTGGGTTAGAATCCCATCATGTAGTCTTAAGTTCTGTCACAGGAACAGTACTCCCTATACCTGCAGATGAGGGTGAAATCAGTAGCTACAGTAACTGTAGAATTTAATTCAGAATGATGTTTGCTGAACCATGATTAATAAATGTATGGTGTGCAAATTGTGCCAATACAAAAATATGTTTTAAATGGTAATACAAGCAAGAGAAAGGTCTATTATGACATGAGGTGGAAGGTTGGGTATGCTACCAGAAGAGGTGTCTGTTGAAAAGTGGCCTACAGACAAGAGAAGGGAAGTCTAGCATGTCTATTATTAAAGAAAGAGATGTTTAATATGTCAATTATGACACACAGAAGGGAAGTCTATTTTGACAATATAAAGGAGGTATAAAATAGTTATTATGACAATAGCTGACCTTTTCATTATGACAATAGAAGGGAGGTCTTAAATAATATTTTCTCTTTTGATAATACTCTCCTGCGCATCGGTCGAATGTTTCACTAACGGTCACTTCTTAGTGTGAGTGCATTCAGTAAGCTGCGAAGGGAGTGTATTTTATTATGACAATTAAATTATGTCACTACAGTCAATTATGATAATAGGAGGGATTTCAAATATTTCTATCATGCCAATAGATCTCGAAAATATGTCTGATATTAAAGTAAAATCCCTCTAATTAGACCACCAATGGGTCTGGACCAAGGTGGTCTTAATTGCAGGGTGGTCTCAGTTGTGGATATTCTTATCATTGCTTGTACATTTTATGACCATGGTCTATTTTAGCAGAGACATAGATAAGTTATCTATGTCTCTGATTTTAGTTATTTTGTATGAACAACTTGTATTATAACCTTCAAATACTGCACTATTAAAGTATTCAATAATATCTAATCTGATGAGAGCAGAACCACGGATTTATATTACAATAATATAAATCCGTGGCAGAACATAATTCTGTAGAAGATTAAATTATCATTGGATTAGTTTCAATATCATTTGATGAACATAATCAACATATCAATTTATCACAGCAATAGTTGTCTAATATGCTTGTTGTGACAAATCTAACATGTCTATTTTGACAATTATCAATTTAAGTGACGCATTTAGATCCCGTGAACCGCGTACTAAACTTTTGTTTAATGGCCGCCTCCATGAAATCAACAAAATGGCACAATGGAGTTTAAATCAATATTTTAATGTGGTACGATTACAATTACCCCATGGAATTGATTTAAAATAGAATGTTGCAGTATCTTCATCAGTTTTAATATACATATAGCGGTTTTTTATTGAAAATGTTGTCGATTTATTATCGAATTCGCGAAAAGAACGTTTCGGACCCAAAACAAATCGAACCAAAATGCAAAAAATTTGCATCCAGACGAACCTGATCTTCTTCTCCGAACTCTGTGCCCTTTTAATTGTTGAGTTTTAACGATAAATGTTTCCTTCGTTTGATAGTGCTTCATAGAACAGCGTTTGTAAAAGTAGTTATGACATTTATAATAAAGTGAATTTTAATGAAGCCAAATAAAGCTTGACACTGAGTATGTTAGTATTCATCCGTATCTTTTGTACAGAAATTAGAAACATTCTTTAGTCTCTATCGCTCCAGTCGAAGTTTCTAATTTCTGTAGAACAGCACGGATGATCACTAATATGAAATTAGGCAAAGCCTATGAACGGGGAAGTCGTTAAAAAAATCCTTTCATTCTTTCCGTTTTAAAGGTGCCATTCGATATTACATACACCGCTTCCGTTTTCACTCGGAACACTCGACGATTATTACTAATCCGAAAAGTTGAGATTTGTTCCGTTATCGGAATACCCCGCCTATTATCATTGACATACATTGTAAATAGCGGCGCCCGACTAGAACTGACACTGAAAATTTTATTGATAGGTATAGAATTCTATATATTTTTTAAATGTTTTTTATTTGATTTTCTTTTCAATATTCACGTGTAGTCTATAGCCGGGTAAGCCAAAGCCCGGACCCGCTTTGCGGGCCCGGTCTTTGACTTCCCCGTAATATATACATAGAATTTAAATGCCAGAAACTGATCTGTAAATTGAATTATTTATTTTCTATTTATTGATGATGCTCAAAACGTTATGCTGTCTTTGTGTTAGATAATTATATTTTAAATTACAAAAATTAGTGAACAAAAGTATATATTCTGACTGTCCTTTTCAGTTATATAACAGCTTACAGCAGTATGATGGAGAAAAGGCGGGGGTAAGGAGTTTTAATAATTGTCAATAATGAATAAAGTTTGTGGCGGCATGGCCGACAGGCCGAGTCAGGTTAACACATCAAACACATCAAATTAGTAATGTAATGATCAGTACAAAGTCATGGGTTCAAAACTTGTAAGGGGCATGTCGTTGTTTTCTTGAACAAGAAACTTTACAGTCACTGTTCAGTACTGGTTGGTTCCAAGAACGGATTCAAAATGTCTTTATACATGTAAGCTTATAGCTTCCTACACAATCAAATTGAAATTAATTCCGATAAACCAAAGAAAGTTTTTCTCTGTTTGGAAGATGCTTATTTAACCTTCTAAATTTAACCAATTACTTCATAAGCATTTTGTGAAAAAAGGCTGTTTTCATTGAAAAGTCTCCCGTTCAAATTGCTATAAAACTATAAAAACTGCTTCAAATGGCTATAAAACTATAAAAACTGCTTCAATACTAATCAAACTTGGCACAAATGTTGACTGGACCATTGCCTTTGTAACAACATGCCCAGCCTTAAATTTCCTGTTACCATGGCAACAAATGGACATCTCAAAATTGCCAAAAATCACTATTTTGCGTTGATTTTTTCCATCAAAATTGATTTCAAAGTGCTGCAACTTCTCAATGGATTGAGATAGAGTCAACTGCTTTTCAGCGTTGGTTACACGTTACCTTATGATCCATCTGGGGTCATTTTAGCCTCTCACAAGTCCAAAAATTTCTTGGCGATGAGGGGGACAACCCCCCCCCTTCAAAACCCCCCAAACAGAAGGAGGCACATCCTCCTTCTGGCAACCCCCTGATGTATCTTTTGATTTGGGAGCCGCGCCGAAAAAGTGGTCACTTTTTTAAACAACATTTCCCAAACAAAACAAGTGTTGGGGGCCTAAATAAAGCATTTTTTCACCATTTGAAACAACAAAAAAAGGGGGGGGGGTGAAAAAGATGTTAAAATGTGTGATGTATATTGGGTAATGGTTTAACAAGACTTATCCACCTTAAAGGCTCCCATTTTTGGATCCATCCTTTATCTGTTTTTGTGGATATCAAGCTTAAAATTTGAAGTTAAGTCAGCCAACATTTATATAGAGCCTGGTCATACTGTCTGATGTACAGATAGGTATTGGTGATAGATAGCACTTTCAGTTCCAGCAGATCAAGCTTTCTGTCCATTTTCAAGACAATTTTGCCTTTAATTTGGCAGTTTTTGCTTTGACCCTCTAATAAATCACATTTTATAGTCAAGTGTTTTTACTTTTCAGTGTTTACTGTATTGTATAACGTTTTATTTATGCTTTTTTGTTTGTAAATTATGATATTATGTATATTTTTCTTTGAAAAGTAACATAAAAACGAAGTGCTTATTATGTTGTTCTTGATTGATTATGTAGGAACTGCTAGGCTTCAACCATCCACATGTTGCAAATCCCAGGCTTCAACTTGAGAAGCCGGAATCAGCAGTCAGTCGTGTGTTTGAACCCCCATGGGAGGATGTAGTTGCTGCTCATTTAAGGTGAGGCAAAATATATTTCAGTCTTCAATGTTGGTTGGCATGTCAAGTTGTGTTAAATTCATATATTTAGGTTTGATTGTTTTAAACATTAGAAATTAAACATTTTAAGATAGTTTTAAGATGGGGTTCTCAGTAATGTGTTAAAATCTGTATTGTTTTTGCTATGACCCACTTATAATCACTTGCTTGTTGACAGATTATTTATAAGACAGGGTTCTAATTTTGCCATGAAATCTGTTGTTTTTGCTTCGACCCTCTTATAAGTCCCATTTTATAGAGTCAAGGGTTCTTTCTTTTCATTGTATCACTTAAATTATTTTCAGTTAAATAGTAAAATGTGTTTGCAGATCTAACTTTGACCCAATTTTGCTTTTTCTTTCCTAAGTGTATTGGAAATTGAAGTTTTAATTCTTGATTGTAAGTGTTCGGCTATTTCTTGTACATTATTTACAAGTAATCAGATGTTCACCAGTCAAATAACATCTGGAAATATATACATGTATATACGTTGTACAAGTGCATTCAATAACTTATAATAAATTGATGAATTTGTTGTAATTATAACTTGGTTTTTTCATATGTACATGTATTTTCATCATAATTTATGTACATATATTATATATTTTCAGATGTAGCTGGGCTGTAGCAAATGGTGATTTTGTTGAAGCTTACGATTGTCAGTCATTTATAGTGTTGTATCCTTTTGTCTAAATACAGTACAACCTCCATAGAGCCTTTGGGAGACCAAGATTTCAGTTGTTGCCAGTGATTTTCACCTGTATTTTACAGCCCAATAACGGCTGTTTCCTCTAGCCCAGAATTTTCCCCTACAAATGCTAATATTTTCCCCTGTGCACTTTCTTGCCAGAACCATGGCTTAATATCAGCTGACTTATATCAGCTAGTTGATAAATTAAATTGACTGAAAGACAGAAATATGTCCCTATAGATAGGCTCTGCTATGTGCCATGTATGTTTAATTCAATTGAAATTGAAAATTTTATAAAATATGTGGGTAAGTTCCATTCACAGTTGTGAGAATTTGATTTCATATTTGTCCCTTTTCTGATTTATCATGCTATATTTTCACCTTCAAAAAGGCACAGGTTGTTTTTAAAATTGAAAAAAAAATCACTGGCTGCTGAGAGGTGTTCCCTCCACAGTGGTTGAATTATTTTGAAGACTTACTTTGATACTGTTGTTGTAAAGAGGTGGTTTCTATACAGAGGGCTGTTCAGCATAGATTGTACTGTACTATCTAAATAAAGTGATTTTTATGGGTGACAGATTGCATGTTTTGTGGAAATTCAATGCTATTTGTTTTAACCTCCATTTTTGGGTTTCTGATTATTGTTGTTTTTTTTGTTGTTGTTTATTTTCTGTAATGTTATCCTCATATTTTTACTACATGTATTTATTCTTTAATGGTTAAAGTGTATATAGAGGATATTCAAGTTTTTTTCTATAAATACAGCATTTATTTTAATAGAGTGGAAATAAAATAAATATTTCATGAGTGGGCTTAGAAAATACTACCACAAGATGAAAATAAATCCTGTACATGCTATTTATAGAAATAACTTGAATTTTCTGTTTATTATTTACATTTTTCTCCTTTTAACATTACAAGAAATGATAAGCAATGGGAAATCACGCTCATTTAGTACAGGACGGGTAAGAAGCCAGACTCTTAGTAATAATACTCCGACAAAGAATCGAATAGAGAGTGAACATTCTAAAGTGTCGTCTGTGATTAATGTTGCTGAATTTAAATTACTGAAAGACACTTTATCACAGGTACAAACTGATGTTTTAAATATGAAACAGTCAGCTCTCGCTGCGGAAAAAGTTCGATCTGATCAAATGAAAATTATAAGCTCTACTGTAGAAAGCATTAAAAAAGATCTACATGAATGTAACAGATCGATAGCAAACTATATTCAAAACAGTTTGAAACCAACATCTAGTGACCAAGCTGTTGACATCAAACCGTTAGAGAATATGATAAAATCAACAGAAAGTCGGGTCAAACAGTTGGAAAACTTCTTAGATGAATCAAAGCTGTTAACAGTTGAAAAGTTAGCTACGGCATTTTATGGTGGTAAATCTGTATCTAATACTGACAATACAATTTTAAAAATGGCCCCTCAAAATTCAACGGAAGCTAAGTCGTGTAAGCGGAGAGCGGTCTCAAGCACACCACAACCAATGCCACCACCGCCAATGCCACCACCGTCGCTACCACCATTTCCACCCAGATATCCTCCACCACCGATAATGATGTGGCCACTTCCGGTTTCAAGACCTTACGCTAGCACACAACAATGCAAAATGCCGTCAACACCTATGGATTATAATAATGCAACAGTTGTTAACGACAGAGCTACGAACAGTTGTCTCTCAAAGGTGACGACTGACTCGTCATCTGGAGTAAGAAGTGATACCAGCGCCGGAAATTCTACACCTATGTCGATCCCTGTTCGAGTCACTTTTCACGAAGAATCTGTAGCGAAAGATTGCTTTATCAAAAAAGTACGCCGTAAGCCAAGGAAATTGTTTGTAGGCGGATACGGTACTTGTGTGTCTACGGACGATATATACAAAATCGTGCATGATAATGGAAGTGTTGTCAAAAATATTAGTATATTTCCATCAAAAAAGGTACTAAATAAAGTAATTGTTCGCTTGTGCGTTATTGACGATAAATCTTCCGATAGATTGTTACATGAAAATGTGTGGCCGCAGGGGGTCACGTGTAAGCAATGGTTACCACGTGACAAAATTAAGAGCGGGAATCGTAACAATACGAGGTCTACAAATGACAGATTACCTCCACGTTTTCGACGTGAACGCAGAAACGATAACAACATCCGCATGAGGCGGAATGAGAATATTGACTAAGTATGTACACAAATGTTCATCAGTGTTTACAACATGTATATGTTTTATATTGTCCTGAAAAACATTATTTCTTTATGTATGAATTTCAATTTATTTACATGGAATGTTACTGGAATCATGTCCAGTTCTTCGTATTTATGTGATGCATTACTGAAGTATAACGTTGATATATGTGGTATATCTGAACATTTTTTGACACCACAAAATGTGCATTTTCTAGATTCCTTAATATCAGATTACAGATTTACAGTGAAATGTGACAAAGACTTATTAGTACCTCACCAAAGAAGAGTAGGTAAAGGAGGTGTTGCGCTACTTTGGCATAAACGTTTGAATGATTATGTTACACCACTTCAAACGGACAGTGACCGTATTTGCGGCATTCAGTTGCAAACTTCACCTGGACAATATATGTTTTTGTTTCAGGTGTACTTGCCATGTAGTAATAATCCTGTTTCTATGTATTTAAATTGTATAGATGAGTTGTATAATTTGTGGCACATTTACTCCTGCAAAGGGTCAGTCCTGTTGTTGGGCGATTTTAACTCAAACATTATGATAGATTCAAAAATTACACGTGATAAATGCTTAAGACAGTTTTTCAATGATACGAATCTTGTCGCAATTAATACTTCGTCTATATGTTCAGGTCCTCAGATTTCCTATGTTTCATATGATAATATGTATCACTCTATGATTGACTATATATGTGTCCCTGTAGAAATTATTGATTGTGTAAGTTATTGTCATATTATGGATGACCATTGTCTAAATGTCTCAAGACATAGACCAATTATTGCCCAACTAATTTTACCTTGTGCAGATTTAAACAATGTATTGATAAAAGAAAAGTGTATCAATTGGAAAAAAGTAAATGAAGTAAACTTAAGACAATATAACACATTATTACAGAATGACTGTGATCTTGCAGAGTTGAGTTATTGTGACTTTGACCCAAGAGGCATTGATAATGCATTTGATTTAATCGTGTCAAAAGTGTATCAATATTCATCAAGGGCATTTCCGGTAAAAAATGTGCCGAATATTTGAAACCCTATTGGAATAGTGAATTAAAGGCTGCACAAAGTGAACAGTTGAAACTAAGAACGAAGTGGTGTAAAGAAGGTAGACCGCGAAATGACTCTCACCCGGCGTTTCATAATTACAAAAAAGCCAAATGTAATTTCCGTCGAATTCATAGGAAAGTTGTTAAGCAATATCTCATGAAACAGAACGAGGAGTTAGATCGAAATGCAGAACTGGACTCAGACACTTTTTGGAAAAAAATCAAGGCCAGACGAAAAAACACTGAATCTTCTTCGTTATGTGCTGGCATGAACTTTAATGGGTGTACAGTTAGAGATCGTAGTGAAATAACTCTAGGATGGGGAAATTATTTTAAATCATTGTATATGCCAACTTCGAATACGATGTTTGATGAAAATTGGAAGAATATCGTTGATCGGGAAATTCAGTCAACTGAAAATACCATCATTCCGGATCCGGATGTCGTCGTCTTGCCGGAAGTAGTGAATGATGCCATAAGTTTATGCCCAAGAGGAAAAGCGGGTGGAGATGACAATCTACAATATGAACACCTAATTTTGGCAAAAGAATTTATATCGCCTATTTTAGCTAACGTATACACATTTATGTTACGTCATGGATATGTCCCCGATAACATGAAACGAGGTGTAATTGTCACACTTCATAAAGGCTCAAACAAAAGAAAAGACAACCCTGATAACTACCGTGCAATTACATTGACTTCTGTAATAATGAAAGTTTTTGAAATGGTACTTTTAAAAAGATGTCAAGATAATATTCTAGAAACTATCAATGTACAACAGGGCGGCTTTCAAGATGGTTTAGGATGTTTAATGATGTCATTCGTTCTACGGGAAAGCATTTTCTTTGCAAGAGAGTATGGCTCTAGAGTGTATGTTTGTTTTATGGACGGCCGCAAAGCTTTTGACACTGTTTGGCATTCGGGGTTGCTGTTTAAACTTTTAAATGAGATTCGAATTGACTCAACTTCGTTTAGAGCGATCAAATCTATGTACTCAAACATGCAAAGTTGTGTGAAATATCAAGGTCTACGTTCTAAGTGGTTCGATGTTCTACAAGGTACAAGGCAGGGAGGCAAATGTTCGCCAATTTTCTATCTTGCGTACATAAATGGACTTATCAACGAATTACAGGGTAGTGGTTTAGGTATTTGTATGTACGGACTGGACCTGGACCCACAGTAGCAGACGACATGGTATTGATATCATTCTCTTCAAATGGTTTGCAGTCTATGTTGGATATTTGTTATTCATACGCAAGTCGTTGGAGATTCCAATACAATGCTAACAAGTGTTCGGTGATAGTATTCAATGAACGCCAACCTGATAGTAAAATACGACATTATATGCTCGGTGACAATTATGTTAATCAAGGAGATAGTTATGTACATCTCGGCATAAAATGTGACTCTTTTCTCTCTACGAAATCCTGTATTGCAGATGCATGTAATAAACTAAGGGGGACTTTTTTGAATATATGTAATAGTGGAGTTCATCCAGATGGATTAAATCCGGTTTCTTCTAAGATATTGTATAATTCAATAGTCATTCCGAAGAGTTTATACGGATGTGAGCTTTGGAGTAGCATTTCAGACACTGACATGATAAAATTAGAAAGATCACACAGATTTTGTATAAAATACATGCAGTCCTTACATATAAGTATAAGTACAGACTTTGCCTTAAGTACTTTAAATCTAAGTGCTTTAGAAAAAATAATTGAACATAGGAAGTTACAGTTTCTTGGTCAGTTATGTCGGCTTTCTAACCGATATTTAGCAAAGAATGTGTTTAACAACAGACTTATTAGATTTATGAAGTTTGATGCTTGTTATCTGGGATTCATTCCTGATATATTCAGACTCTTGCAAAAGTATAATCTGTCTCATGTACTCCAGATCTATCTAAATGAAGGGACATTTCCTTCAAAATATGTGTGGAAGCGAACATTGTTACAACATGTAATTAACCCTGATGTTCAAAACAGATATCTAAGACTTGTAGAACAGGATGAATTTTCGTTATTGTGCGAAATTTTGAAACCGAACAGTCACTGCTTATTATGGCAAACTGCTAGAGGAAATTCATATATGACAATGCTCTGTAAAAAATTGATAGCTATCACTGGAAAAATATACTCTGCGAATTATTTACAGACGTGTTCAAAATGTTCATGTGTGTCAGATGATATTATTGTACATTTTATTATCTTCTGTAATGCAAATGAAAATTTACGGAGTGCCATGTTAAATCGTTTCATCACAGTGTTTGGGCTACGTCTATTCGCAAATCTAAGGTCGCAGAGCCCTCGTGAACAATGTATCACTTTGCTCAGATCGGCAATAATGATATGTAATAACGCTTTCTTGAATTGTTGGCTAGTGAGGTATATCAATGCCATGGTACCCCAAACATTAACTTAGGTTCTATAGTGAAACTATGTGACAACCTATAATATATTATATTTTAGGTATGCTGTAATTGCAAATTGTACTTTTAGCTTTGCCTCTGTTTGCCTTAAGTCTCAAACTTAGTTTGTAGTTACGCAATTTTTTTCCTTATAATGTTAGAGTTTACAATGTGCTATGAGTGCACACATGTAGTCTGATTTATTTTTGCGTCTGTATTGTTATGCCTTAAAATTGACGATGTATGCTTATATAAACTTAAATGTCATTGTCACAAACAGATAAACGATCTTGCATTTATGATTTTGCTATATTAAGTTTCTTTTTCTGATATACATTAATTTTTTTCATATAAAGAAATATCTCAGACATCCCATCCTTTTGCTGTCCAGCTTAATGTTTTCGTTTCGTACTTAAGCAGGCTGTTGTTAAAGGTATTACTATATTGACGCTATTTTTGTTTGTTTCAGTCTATTAAGTTTCGATCAATAATTTCGAAATAGACTGTTCTATCAAATAAAACTTTGCATTTACCACCAAAAAGTAGTATCTCTTATGTTCTCACTTATCTTCAATATTTTGACTATTATTATTGTAGAGTTATATTAAATGTTACCCTGGTATAGGTAGCACAAATGTAACTAAATAAATATTCTACTAATTAATGAAATCTTACTTCAGTCCGTAGTCTTTGGCCTCTTTACTGACACTAAATATTTGCATTTGTTAAATATGTGTACGTGTTATCAAAATACATTTGTGAACTCTCAAAAATTAGTACAATGTTATTGATATTTGACTAGTTTGTTGACATACTACTGTATTATGTTTGTTGAATTGTCATAATTTTGTATATATGTGTGATATTTATATGTATGCTTGTTCTGCTCTTCATTCAATGGAGGAATAAAAGATATATATAAGATATATATATAGAGGATATTCAAGTTTTTTTCTATAAATACAGCATTTATTTTAATAGAGTGGAAATAAAATAAATATTTCATGAGTGGGCTTAGAAAATACTACCACAAGATGAAAATAAATCCTGTACATGCTATTTATAGAAATAACTTGAATTTTCTGTTTATTATTTACATTTTTCTCCTTTTAACATTACAATTTGACAGACTTTCACTTAGATTTTATGTATTGGCTGAATTTAGAAGAAATATATTTCACTGCAGCAAAAAAATGTTTTTACAGTTAAAATACAGAAAATGAAAATATGCATTTTATTTCATCAATATTTCTCATATTTCAATTATAAGTATATAATAAAAAGTTATATTTGGATATCTGTTACAACTTAATAAAATTTGTTTCTTGGTAAAAAAATTATACCATGGTACATGTACCTATATTGAAAGGATAATGTTTGTAAAATTCTATTGAAGATGTGTTGTCGGAATTCTAATTTTATCAGCAGAACTTGTAAGTGATATGATTTAAAAAAAAAACAAATCCAGCTATATTGAAGGTTACATCACTAAATATTGTCCTTAACATTTGTCAGATCATTTTCAAAGATATTTCAGAGTCAAAAAGATGAGAACTGGTCTCTGCCTCTTTTGTTTGCTATATGTTTAGATCTGAGACTGTTTGCCAATAAGGTATGATTTTATTTTACACCTACACATTTAGATATATGATTCTTTTTGGTAATCTTGGGAATAAAAACAGTTTTGTAAACAAATTAATTGATTTTTATAAGAAATGGTTTTATAAACATTTTATGACAAAACAAATTCAAATAAACAAATTCTACAACCTAATTTGGTAGCAATAACTTGTTTTCCCATCCATTTATTTATTGTCTGTAATGAAGAGATTTTTAATGAAGAGATTTTAAATATGTCAACTTTTCTGTATATAGAAATAGTTAAAAATTTTAAGGTCTTGTTTTAAATATTTGTCAGCTATTATGTACATGTATATGGAAATGTTCGAAAATTTAAGTACATGATTTTATCCTTCTACACAGGCTGATCAGCAGGCTGTGAGACAAGGAAAGGGAAAATATGGCGAGAGATTAGAAAAGGCCGCTGATACTCTCATGGGATGTTTCCGAGTTTGCGCCAGTGACAAGTATGTTAATTATTCATGTATATTTATTTTGATTACATATTCCTTGATGCTCCGGATTACGACAGTTAGCCACATTGAGTTTACCAGAGCGCATTGTTCCTGAGCAGGCTGTCAGGCAGTTTAACAGCACTTGCTGCCTTCACTTTCGCAAGGAACCGAAACTTATCGGAGCATATCATATCAGAGCAGAGGTACAGTGCAAATGACTGTAAAAAAGATTTCATGATCAATCACAACGAAAGTGACCTGCGCCGTCTGGGAATCAAACCTGGGTCGCCCGATTCACAGTCCAACTCTTTACCTTTTGAGCTACCTGGACGGCTACTGGCTTAACCAAAATCAAATGTGTGTGTAGACCCATCCTAGACCTATGCAAATATGTAAAAAAAAAGATTTTGATGAACATTTTTACGCCAAAGTTGGCCATAAGTGAACCAAACCCTTGATTCAAAATAATTTTGTTAAATTTTCAGCCGGGCAGCTATTGAAGATACTAAGAAATGGGGGATGTTGAATCTTGTAAATCAATTGTTTAAGATTTACTTTAAGGTAAGATAAATAGCATTATAGTGTAAAAATTTATTTACTTAGTTTAAGTACATTAATAATATTTTCATTATCAATTATTAGGCATCACCATTATAATAGTCAATCTCTTAAAATATAGTACTAATTCAGCTCAAATTAAAAATAAAAAAAGACAGCACAATGTTACTTTAAAGATATACTATGCTCATTTTTGAGTAAAATAATTTTATCACAGAAATTTATTGAAATCTATGAAATTCTTACTGAATATGTCTATTTTGAATAAAATAATGTACAAACTATGTATGGGAAGCTGCATTCCCTAATACAGATTAAGTATAGTTGGTCCTTTCTTTTAAAAAAAAATACCAGTTTTTTTTAATGACACTATGACACTATATATTCATATTTTGGCCTCCTATAGTGTGTAGAGTTTAAAACATACCATATCTACTTTGTGTGAAGTCAGAACATGTTGATTATATATTTACAAAGAAATAGTGTAGCAATTTTCAATATTTTCAAATATCAATTTGAGCATAATATATGTTTAAATAAAGTTCTAAGACAAAATGGAAATGCATGTATACTGGAATCTTGTTAATGTTTTTTTTACAGATAAACAAACTGCATCTGTGTAAGCCATTGATTCGTGCAATAGATAGTTTACCAATGAAAGACAAATTTAGCCTGTCTCACCTTATAACATTTAGGTAAAACTTTGTGTTTGTAAATAATCTAATATATATATTACATTGGTTCATGCTTTTGTATTTGTAATGCATATTATTTCATAATCTCAATATATCTACTGCAAGACGACTGATTTTACAAACTGACATTACATAGATGTCAGCGAAGGGCGATCGTCATATATATTATAAAAAGCCCAGGCACACAATTTTCTTGGCTAATTATCTCAGAACTAAATCTGTCTTACCATTTTAACAATAAAAATGCTTTGAAGTACCGGTATATTTATGTTTTCTGCTGTTTACAAAAGTTTTATTAGAATTTTTAAAAAGAATAATTCTATTATATCTGTATGAAATAGATATGTAAGTAAATTTCCAATAAAGCATATGGCACATGCACAAAATTATATTTTGCTGCAGAACATTTTATTCTGTTTATATACAATATTCATGTGTAGCAGATTCTCTCCATTCTACAACTTTATATATATTTAGTCAAGAATGCTTTCCTTTGACAGGTCTTATTTGATAATGCTTTGATAATTTGAGAAATTACATTTCAATTTGCAGATATTATGTGGGACAAAAAGCCATGTTTGATGGTGATTTTAAGAAAGGTAAATAGTTGACATAATATTTAACTTCATCCATATAGCCACAAATTGCAAAAATGATTTTCTTAGAAGTAATGTTTTGTTGTTTTGTAAAAATGAAAATAATTAAGCATTACCTATAGCTGCAAGACATCTTAGTATATAAATCACAACAGGCCTGTCTAGTTTTGATATTAAAAACAGCTTTGTTGATGTTTTAATTACAAGTCATGGGGTGTCTGTGGACCAAAGGTTTAGGTAGTTGACTTAAAACCATTTGCCCCCACTCCTGTGGGCTCAAATACTGCCAGGAACTTTGGATTATTTCATGTGAGAAAGCTTTTCAGCTAGCTTTTTTCTACACAGGTGTTTTTGCCTGAAATAATGCAAAGGGCAATTGATTTCTTCCTCCCCACGTAAAACTGGAAAGTCTACATATGACTTAACAATATTGCTGCAAGGTGAAACCCAACCTAAAATAAGAGAAATAATCTTTACAAATGAGCTTTTATGCATTTGCTTTTAAATGTGTAAGACATTTTGCTGTTAAAGAAGCATGCCTTCAAGTTCATGCCAATTTTTATGAACATTAAGAAATGCCGAATTTTATCGAATGAAGGAGCAAATTGATTACAGCTAGTCTGGGGCCATTGGTATCCTCAAAAAATTTCTTGACACTGTTTGGTAAATGTGTGCATGCAACTTCATATATAACCTCATTTCAGATCCTCCATCAAAGATGTTTATTTTAAACTTCACGTTTATCTTCAGGATTTTAATTTGAAGGTCACTTTCCAAGATGCCAATTATAGCCCTTTGTAAACTTCAGAAAAATTGTGTTTAACAAAAGGTATTCTCAAGAAACTTCTCTAGTTCCATCTTGGGTTGAGAGACAATTGATCTCAAGACATTTAGTCTAATGGTCATTTGTCTCTCACCCCTGGTAATCCTGTCCAATGTGGGATTAGCTGTAAGTTGCATGTAGAGGAATTGGTAATGACTGGTTAGTTATCCGCAAGATGCAACCAAATAAAAATATGTGAAAATGGGAGTAAAAACCAGATAAACAAGGAAACCCTACAAATGAATTCTTTGTTATAATTATAATGATGATAATGATTTTAAAAGAAATTTTCATGTGAATGTAGACTTATTTTACCTTCATGTATTTGCAGCTGAAGAGTATCTGAGTTTTGCTTTTGAACATTGCCATAGAGAAAGTACCAAAAATAAGAGATTGATTCTACAGTTTCTGGTTCCAGTTAAAATGTTGCTGGTAGTTATTATACTTTGGCTTTGTTTACATATTTTATTATGATATTGGTGCTGATAGTTATTTTAGATAATGAGAGCTAAAAGTTTGGAGACTTTAAAGTTGCTTTATGCTCAAAGAAACAAAAGCTACAAATATTTTTCCAGTATTAAAGACTTGAATGTTTTAGTAAAAACAATGTTGATTAATTGATAAGTTTATTTAGAACTAATTTATCTGCTCATTTCCGGGTCTCCATGATGCTGTTGTTCATGGTAACTTTTGATGTTACTTTTTGGATCTTTTTGGGATAATACACAATTTGTGTCAATATTAGGTAGTGATGTCAGAAAAATGAGCTTTTATTTAGATGAAATCATTGTTTTTACATGCATTTGAAAGATTATCGCAAATTTTTTGCAAATTATGTTTTTTTAATGAGATATTCTTTAAAGAAAATGATAGATATATATGTCATGACATATTTTAGGGACAGATGCCAAAATCTGAGTTACTGAGGAAATATGATCTCTTAGCCTTTTTAGAAGTGTCAGAGGCAGTCGGGTAAGATTTGTTTATCTTTTATGTTATTGTAATTTAATATGCTTTTTGAAATGTTTGATAAAACTTATAGATGCCTATTTCACTGTCCATGATTTATGTACGTATAGCTTTTAGACAGAAAATAACCTCTTTGAGAGCTTTACAAATAGGAAAGTTTTATTAAGGTTATGAAGTACTGTTTATGTATAATTCCTTTAATAAATTGATACAATGCTTGCAAGATTCATCTGCAGAACCACAAAATTAATTTGCAACATCAGACATACCTTTTGGATCGTTATTGTTAATCACTTACAAGATCTATAACTCTTTTTATGAAATTTTCACTTTTGTGAATTTCCCTATTTCCCAGGGCTTTGTTTGAGAATAGTTAAGTATGCTATCATACTGGCATCTCTTTTGTTTTTTGTTGTTAGATTATAAGAATGATATATATGCTGATTTATCTTTAAGTTTATCATCTAGAGCTGTCATTGATTCAGTGCAAAGTATATCAACAACATATCGATATAGGATGACAAATATTAACGATACATCAATATATTGATAATTTCCTCTAATTACTTGTCTGTCATTCACTTTCATACCTGTTTAAACAGTAAAGTACATGTTCAGTTCACTGTCTTGTTTATAAATGCCCATGTATTTCCTGACCATTTTTTGTCATCATTGCTATGAAATTTTTCCATTATGTAACCAGAACATAGTGTTAGACATGTATACCTGCTTCTGTATATGCTGTGGGTGAATGTTTGTAATTAGACATTCAATATTGTTTCTATCGATTAGAGCTCTAATATAATCATGACAATAAACCCGTTGATAAATGTTTATTATATTATAATTATTTTTATTTCAAAATGTAATAACTAAATGTTGTCTTATTACTTTGTATTTCTAGGTCAGGTAATATTCGTCAACTGAATGCAGTGATGGAGAAACACGAACACTATTTCATCAAGTGTGGAATTTATCTTATCCTTGAAAAACTGAAGATTATTGCCTACAGAAATTTGTTCAAAAAAGTGTATGTATAAAATCTTCATTACATTTGTTGGTTTAAACATATATTGTATAATTATTTAAGATTGATTGCGAAACAAGTTCATGCAACTTATATTTATGACTTTCGAGTCCGCTTCCTGAAACCAACTGGTACAGGTGACATATGAATACATGAAGAAACATGGTTGTGACCTGATTAGGCCTTGAACCCATGATTCTGGGTTGAAAGACATCTTAACCACTAGTCCACTGTTCCCCTTTAATTACATTATTACATTTGTTATATACATGTATTTGGTGCTCTCGGAATGTTATCTAATATCTAATTGATCGAAAAAATATATTTAATGAACATGCTCATGTATCAAAGTAAGATGGCCCAGTGGTAACAAGGTCTGACTGCAATTACAGGGGTCACAAGTTTGACGCCCTGCCACACCAACTAAAATTACTAACAAGTCTTTATGATGAGACATTTCTTTAAAAAACGAGGTTCTGTGCAATCGTGTAATGTTAAAAAACCAGTTTAGACAAGATGTCATAATTTTTGTTGGGCAATATCTTATATAATGTTATACAGATCTATCATTGTCTGGTTGTCCCATTGTCATGCAATTTGCCTTAAGAGCAATTTGTGTTGACTACTTCCAAAAGGATAACTACTACAGCCACTTGTGGCAAATATTATGTACAAATTGGCATCAGAAGACTTCCTCCATCAGAAAAACTGGAATACAACTTTAAGATCTTCACAGTAATGATTTGACTTGACTTAAAAAGAGAAATAAATTTTAACCTTTAACCTGCACAATTTGTGACATCGATTCACCCAGCTTTCATTATGGAACGTGCTTTTAAAAAATTTGAGGGATTTCAAAATCAAAATGCAAAAGTTGAGCTACCAACAGTATAGAGCCTGGTGAGATAGCAAGGATGTGCATTTGGCCTGGCTCTATACTTTTAGCAATGTCTAATTACTTTTAGTATCAGCATGTTATGATTTGAGAATTCATATTTATTTGACAGATATTTGATAAAGAAAACTCACCAGTTGCCTATACAGTCATTTACGAGAGCTTTACAGTGGATGGAGGTAGAAGAAATAGACGATGATGAAACAGCATGTATTGTAGCCAATCTTATATGTGATGTAAGTTGTCATTGGTCGTTGATACAAGGGCTGTCTCAAAATTCCTTGGCAAATTGTATAGATTTCTTTTTAGTACTTTAGTACGTAAAGATTCACATTTAATTTCTATATACACATGTATTAAAAATGCAAGTTCTTTTGTATAATGTCTTTGATGTTGGACATGTGGCAGAATTCACATACTTTGTCATCATTTTTACATCAACATTTTGTTATTCATTGAAATATTTTTGATTTTCTATGAAATTTTGTAACAATGTTTCAATTGTATACTGGTTGGGGACCACCAAAACCGGACTACCACCAAACCCGGACGGCCCCGAAAATGCTTAATTTAGTATTTTCTTTGTTCAGTGGTTGTCAGTCACTTTTTTATCAACAATAAGTGCATGTTTCTTTTAAAATTAAGTAAATGAATTTATTTCAACCTCCGTAAATTGTAATATTTTAATGTCTATTTCAAGAATGTTAACGTTGAAATTCGGGGGTCAATAAAGCAATTCCTGACCTCATATACCAGCTATAATCATTTGCAGGGTGAATAATAGAATATCCAAAACTTCAGCATTTGTTGCTGACATATTGTATATAATGTTACAAATTAAAACTCAAAACACACAGGCTTTTATCTGAATTAAATCACATCATGTACATATCTGTCCTGACAGATGGTACTGTAGTGTAGACAATTTAGGTCATTTTGATACCCATCTTGTCGAGCCTCAGATACAAGTGTCAATACAATCAGAAATAAACAAACTAGTTTATTAGTTAGGAGTAGAACCTAGCTGAACTGTGTCAATTTTTTTGGTCTATTGGTTAAAAATTATGAAATCTGTACGGAAAAATGTTCCAAAAGTGTCCGGTTGATGGTCCCCAACCAGTATGTTTGTAACATACTAAAATCTATAATTTGTTCCTATTAAATTTACCTTTTGAACAGACTGGCACAGAATTTGGAACAGCCCTTGTAGGTCAAGAGATATTGATATATTATAGATATATATCATTACAACCTCTACAGAGAGCAACACTCTTTGGTAGATAAAGATTTTGGTTGTTGGTGAAACGTGATACATATTGTTTACTCTTATTATACAAAAATGATGCTATTGCTTCATACAGGTTACTACTCTACAGAGGGCCCCTTATTTTCTGTTGGTTTAAACATATTTATTTAAGCTCGATTGCGTAACAAGTTCTTGCAACTTATATTAATCACTTTCGAGTCCGCTTCCTGGAACCAACCAGTACTGGTGTCATACGAAGAAACATGGTCGTGACCCGAGTAGGGCTTGAACCCATGATCTCTGGGTTGAGAGGCAGACACCTTAACCACTAGGCCACCGCTCCCCCTTATTTTCTGTTAAAGAAGAGTTTGTCTATACAGTTATACCATACATTACATGTGACATACCTCATATATTTTCAGAACAAAATAAAGGGATACATTTCCTATCAGCATCAGAAGTTGGTTGTCAGTAAACAGAATCCATTCCCACAGCTGTCAACAGTTATATAGAACTACTGCACGTGTCTTGATACTTCAAATATGTGTACATACAATCATAGACCAAGCTGACTGTTGATGTATATAGTGGCATGACTTTATGTTGGATGTGGATTGACCAGGTCAATCTTGACCACGCAGACTGTTTCTGTACATATTGGCATGACTACTATTGGATTAAACTCACTACAGTGTTGGAACAGTACCTCTAGACGCTTGCAGAAATCATGATCACAAAATAGACAAATTTATTAATTTCTTTTCGCCGATTCTTACATTTTTCATTTATTATCGTATATAAATCGGTGTGAAGAGATGAATAAGACCTTTAAAATTCATTCTGTTGGATGAAAATGCGAAATTTTAGCATTAAATCATTCAAGCGCCTTGTCTGGTATATACTGGAATATGGTATTTAGTGTGGTGCTCCAATCCTTTTTTTAGTCTCAGTCAACTTCTATTTTGATGGACCTCTATGATCATTGACCAAGCTGACTGTTTCTGTACATAGTGGCATGATTTCTATTGGATATTGATGGACCTTGTCACCTGCTACAGACAATCTGATGTACTCTTACAGTGACTTTGAACCATTTCAGAGCCGACTGCATATGTTTTATGATGACAAATTGTACAGCTAACCATCAAGCTTATTATAATCTGTAAATAGTGAAGTGACAAATATTGATAGTCAATAACCCTTGTAGTGACACATTCTGGTACAGTGGCTCTGGAACTTGTCACACATAGTGTTTTATATTGATGATTTTTCTGAGCTTGTCTGCTATTAGTATGTTTACAAGCTGATGTATGTGTACTTTGGGCCATATGTGTTCATATTTTTAAAATAAGTATAATAAGTTCTTATCTAAATTAAATTAGAAATGGCTAAATAAGAAACCATACAAGAACAGTGAGTTAAGATTTTCAATTTTATCCTGGATCTACTGGTTTTTAACTTATGATTAATTGTATCAGATGGAAAAGTGTATGTTTGGAAGAACTGTTCAATTGTGTCATAAATAAATTATTCATGTATAACATTAATTAATGTGAACAAGTATGTATTAAGTCAATGGATGTAAAGAATGAATAAAATAACAAATAATGTGCGAGTGATCTTGCTGTAATTGTAGATTTTTTTGTTTATTACAAATGCATTTCCTATACATGTAACATCAATATATTGTACAATTCAGATAAAATATAATTGTAGATTTAATAGGACAGTAGTATAAAGGGAAGAGTTACCTATGCCTTCGCCTTCGACAATATCTTATTGGGGGTTGAATCTGTAACTGAAACATTTTGTTAATTGTAAACTATTGATGTACCTAAAAGAAGATATAATGTCAAATTTGTTTGAATTTCTATATAATAAGAAATTTGGGAGAGTTAATACTTAGGGAAAAGTTTAGTCAGGTGAATTTCTTGTAATATTAGATGTTGTAGAAAATACGAAGAAATGAAAAAACAACTAGAAAAAGAAGTTTGTCTTATTAGCTCACCTGAGCTGAAGTGCTCACAGCAAGCTTTTGTGGTCACCTTATGACCATTGTGCACCTTAAACTTTTCCTTTAAAAGCAGGAATATTCATTGCATGTAGTCATATCAAAGTTGTTTAAACAAGTCCATTCCATGTAGAATTGTGGGTGTCATGACAGTTGAAAGCAAATCCTGATTTTTTTTAGCTTAGAGCTATGATAAACAAGACCTAGAGCTTTGATATGCAAGGTCTAGAGCTTTCATATACAAGGCATAGAGCTTCGATATGCAAGACCTAGAACTCTGATATGCAAGGCCTAGAGCTTTGATATGAAAGGCCTAGAACTCTGATATGCAAGGCCTAGAGTTTTGCTATAAAAGGTCTGGAACTCTGATATGCAAGGCCTAGAACTCTGATATGCAAGGCCTAGAGCTTCAATATGCAAGGCCTGGAACTCTGATATGCAAAGCATAGAACTCTAATATGCAAGGCCTAGAGCTTTGATATGCAAGGCCTAGAGCTTCAATATGCAAGGCCTGGAACTCTGATATGCAAGGCCTAGAGCTTTGATATGCAAGGTCTAAAGCTTTTCTTATGCAATGTCTAGCACTCTGATATACAAGACCTAGAACTCTGATACGCAAGGCCTAGAACTCTGATATGCAAGGCCTAGAGCTTCAATATGCAAGGCCTGGAAGTCTGATATGCAAGGCATAAAACTCTAATATGCAAGGCCTAGAGCTTTGATATGCAATGTCTAGCACTCTGATATACAAGACCTAGAACTCTGATACGCAAGGCCAAGAACTCTGATATGCAAGGCCTAAAACTCTGATATGCAAGGCCTAGAACTCTGATATGCAAGGCTTAGAGCTTCGATATGCAAGGCTTAGAGCTTTCATATACGATGTCTAGAACTCTGATATGCAAGGCCTAGAACTCTGATATGCAAGGCCTAGAACTTTGATATGCAAGGCCTAGAACTCTGATATGCAAGGCTTAGAGCTTCGATATGCAATGCCTAGAACTCTGATATGCAAGGCCTAGAGCTTCGATATTTGGTATGTAGCATTGTCTTATTGACCTATACAAGTCATGACCCTGGGGTCAAAATTGGTATCATCTAAGGGGTCACTTGATAAAGCAGTCTCATATTGGAAAATAAAATTTAAAAATCTCCTCCTTTGTAGCTGCAAGCACTAAGACTCAGATTTTTGGTGTGTAGCACTGTTTACTGTACAATTTGTTCAAATCTTGGCCATAGGCTCTAAATTGGTCTACTCCAGGGATCACTTGATTATGCATAGTGCCATTTAGGAAAACTTGAAAATATTTTGTCCAGAGCTAACATATATAGTGTGTAAAATTGTCTGATAGACCATTACATAGTTTGTTCCAATCAGGACACTGGAGTATTTTGTGTTTTCATTGACTAATTTACAGATCTTTCCTATAATTGAAAGGCTGAGAGCTTAAAATATTTTGTTTGAAGTATTTTATAGTGGACCTTACCCAAGACCCTGGTCCAGTGTTCACAAAGATTTAAAGTAGGGCTCAAATTAAAAAAAAAAAACTCAAATATTCTCCATTGATGATCCTTATAGATTAAATATTAACTTGATAAAATTGGACTTGAAATAGCATGTTTATGAATTTTTAGAATAAATATATTGTTATTTTCGCAAGATATGGGCATTTTACAGTTGATCCAAATATTAATCTTCATCTATTTTGATCCTATTATTAAATGACGTCATCATGAGCGTGCCATTGTACAGCACGCGACTCATCTGGCACCCCCAAGCCAGATGAAATTTCCGGCATGGGTAAAACTCACGGAAACGCCAGTCTGATATGCAAGAATCTATATTCTAACAGTAGGTTGTTTCCCGTATAGAATGCTATTTTTATTATGGGGCACCTTATGGGTGTTTAGAATAATTTTACAGAATTTCTTTTATATATTTTCGTACTTGAAATTAATGTGTTATGGATTCATAAATGCAATAACACTCGTGGTACAAGCATACAATATGTCCGTGAAATGTAAAAAGTCTAGTTTTGACCAATGACCGTTGATTAACAAGTTTTCTTTTTTTTCTTTCTTTTTTTTTTCTTTTGTTGTACAAATGTTCACATCAAAAATGTCTGTATTCAAATAGACATTAAAATACCTATCATACAGTTGTTTGACCGGTTCCGACACAGGTTTTCAACTTTTGCTGTCTGCATACAAATTAACAAATTGTTTCAAGACCCAATGTACTTGCTAGTAGATATTTGATTCCACTTCAAACCTTTCTTTTCTAATAAGAATACCGCTTCATTTAACCTGATTGTTTTCACCAGTTCCGGAGGTTTACCAGTTCCTGTGCACATAACAAACCATTTGTAATATTACCAACAAACCATTTGTAATATTAACAAGATTGCATTTGAGAAAAATGCTATGCCACCGCATTAATACAACACTAAGCCTTGTACCTTCAGACAATAAGATTTTTTGATTTTTTTTACTATATATATACCAGACAATGCCTTATGCAAAATATCTAAGCTCTAGGCCTTTTGGGTCTTTACAAGAAGGTATTTTAAGGTTTTGCTATATGTACATATAGTGAAAACCAATGACCCCCGGGGCGGGGCCGATTTTGAAATATATATATATATATATTGAAAATCAATGACCCCTGGGGCAAAGGCAATTTTGACCCCAGGGCTATAATTTAAACAATCTTGCTAGAAGTTCACTACATAATGTTCATGCAAAATATCTAACCTCTAGCATTTGTCAATTACTAGAAGAATTTTTTTTAAGTTTTTACTACATGTATAAGTTTTTACTATATACAAATAAGGAAAACCAATGACCCCTGGGGCGGGGCCGATTCTGATCCCAGGGCTATAATTTGAATAATCTGGGTAGAGGTCTACCAGAAAATGCCTTATGCAAAATATCTAAGCTCTAGGCCTTTTGGGTCTTTACAAGAAGGTATTTTAAGTTTTTGCTATATGTACATATAGTGAAAATCAATGACCCCCGGGGCGGGGCCGATTTTGACCCCAGGTCTATAATTTGAACAATCTTGGTAAGGGTCTACCAGACAATGCCTTATGCAAAATATCTAAGCTCTAGGCCTTTTTGGGTCTTTACAAGAAGGTATTTTAAGGTTTTGCTATATGTACATATAGTGAAAATCAATGACCCCCGGGGCGGGGCCGATTTTGACCCCAGGGCTATAATTTGAACAATCTTGGTAGAGGTCTACCAGACAATGCCTTATGCAAAATATCTAAGCTCTAGGCCTTTTGGGTCTTTACAAGATGATTTTTTAAATTTATTCTTATAATTCCTTTTGGTTGCCATGGCAACCAGATTTCTGTATGGAATGAAATTCTTTGAACAACTTTGGAAGCCCTTCACCCAAGGATCAATCCTGCCAAGTTTGGTTGAAATTGGACTAGTGGTTTTTCACAAGAAGATTTTTTAAGTTCACTATATAATCTATATAACACACACACACACACACACACAAACAAACACACAGGTGAATCGCTATATGCCACCGCATCGCAGATGCTGCGGTGGCATAAAAACCTACGAAGAGTACAAGAATAATTACAGACCTGCCTTTGAACAATCTTATCATTAAATTGCGTATACACGACAGTTTTACTAAACTTACGTGGTTCAGTTATGGCCGAGGGGAGTTCAATACTACCTGAAAACGACGGCGATATGTTTTGAAAAAAAAAATAACATGAGTTTTGTTAGATATACTCTTGCGAACAAAATACAAGTTGTAAGGCAGATTCAATATATAAACTGTGTCCTTTTCTTTCAGTTTACATATAATATGTAACGATATACCAATAAGATTGGCGAGATGAAATTTAGCATTTTTGCCTAATGTGGATTTAATAATCAGACGAAAATTATAAGAAGCTGAAATAGAATGATGATTTAATTATTTCTTTGTTAATGTCAATAAACTACAAGACCATTGAACATTTTCTATATTTTCTATATTTATTGTCGGTTACGCGAATAGCTCGCTTGATTGTTCGGAACTGGTCAGTGCGCCGGAACCGGTCTGATAATAATCTCGGTAAAAATCACTGCAGATGTCATATTAAGTCTACCAGGATTTCTGAATTATTAAAACCCTAAATAAAGCAATATTATTTGTCTAAAGAGGCCTTCTAAAAAGGTCTTATATAATAACAAAAAACATTCGATACCGATTTATAAACCCGCAAAATCAATAATTTAAAAAAAGTGTCGGAATTTT